TACCCAACTAGGTAACATCATCAGTGCTAGAAAGGAGTGGTGTTTGTACAGAGGAGGAGGAAGAGGAGGAGGAGAAGACAAATGTGGGGTCCTTGGTACTACTCTCTGAGCTTGGTTGTTTTCTTGCAGGCGTTTCATTACCCAACTAGGTAACATCATCAGTTCTAGAAAGGAGTAGTGTTTGTGGAGGGAGGAGCAGGAGGAAGAGGAAGAAGAAGGAGAAGAGCTTGCTTGTTTTCTTGCAGACGTTTCATTACCCAACTAGGTAACATCATCAGTGCTAGGGATGACGTGATAACGCTAGCACTGATGATGTTACCTAGTTGGGTCATGAAACGTCTGCAAGAAAACAAGCCAGCTCAGAGAGCTCCAAGGAACCCACAGTTCTCCTCCTCCTCCTCCTCCTCCTCCTTCTCCTCCCTCCTCCACTGTTCTCCATTCCACAAACCCTCCTCCCTTCTAGCACTGATATTGTTACCTAGTTGGGTAATAAAACGTCTGCGAGAAAGCAAGCCAGCTCAGAGAACACCAAGGGGATGCCTCACTTCAACCCTGAGCTACAAATACTCTCCTTTATTGGTAAATCACTCTGAACCCTGATAATTAAGGTACTAAAATTTCTCCTCTGCTTTGCTTCATGTTTCTTTTGCATAACTAAGGTGAGCTGCGGAGGGTCGGCTGCCTATCTTAACGTTGTCGGGTTTCTCATCTCCCACCCCTTGTGTAGATCAAGTGCGCAATAGCTACTACATCGGAGCAGATGGCTCTCTCCGCCTGATGTTGGCTAATGGCATGGAGGTGGCTCTCCAGACCGAGCCCCATCTCCTGGCAGGCACCGTAAACCCCACCGTGGGTAAGAGGAACGTGACCCTGCCCATCGACAACGGTCTCAACCTGGTAGAGTGGAGACAACGGAAAGAACAATCCAGAGGCCAGATCACTGTGTTCGGACGCAGGCTGAGGGTAAGCGGGCCGTTCCCAGTCAGAACTGGTGGGAATTGAAATTCTTCTGGTCACCAAAGTGGAAAGGGTTACCATATTTTTCGGAGTATAAGACACTCCAAAGTATAAGACACACCTAGCTTTGGGGGAACCAAAAAAAAAAGGGGGGGGGGGGGGAAATCTGCCTCTGCCTCCCAGCAATTTGCTTCCTTGTAGCAAACAGCCTGTTTCAGCTTCAGCACAGCCTAATTAGCACAAGCAGCTGATCGTTGGTTGGATCAGCCTCCTGACGATCAGCTGTTTCAAGCTACAGGGATCACCGTCTATTGCCGCCTCCACGTGCCTCATTTTTGGCCTCTGCATCCCATTTTCAGCCTCCGTGCCCCGTTTTTAGCCTCTGCGTGCCCCATTTTTGGCCTCCGCATCACGTTTTCAGCCTCCGTGCCCCGTTTTTGGCCTCTGCATGCCCCATTTTTGGGCTCCGCATCCCATTTTCAGTCTCCGCACGCCCCATTTTTGGCCTCTGCGCACCCCACTTTGGTCCCGTTCCGGGCAGCGGGCATCAAAATGGGTAGAAAAATGGGACGTGCGGAGGCCAAAAATGGGGCACACAGAGACGGCAATAGGCAACGGCGATCCCTGCAGCCTGAAACAGCTGATCGTCGGGAGGCCAATCCAACCGACGATCAGCTGCTTGTGCTAAATCAGGCTGTGCTGAAGTTAAAACCGGCTGTTTGCTGCAAGGAGGCAAATGGCTGGGAGGCAGAGGCCAGCGGGCGGGCAGAGCTTCAGCAACATTCGCTGTATAAGACATTTCCACCCGCTTTTGGGGGTGGAAAAAGTGTGTCTCATGCTCCCAAAAATACGGTAAATCACTTCTAGGTATTGCCTGAAAGGGATGTGCAACATGAGGTGAGTCCTGCAATGGTTTTCCTTGGTAGCAGGAAGGGACAATTTTAAAAATTACAGCACGTGCGTGGGGGGAAATGAAACTTTGATTTTGGGTTTTACTGATTAGATCGGTTTGTTGTTATAGAAATGGCTAGTTTAAACTATTATGTCAAAAGTAAAAAGTTGAGGTTAGATGTTGATGCCTTATTCCAAGGGTCTTCAAACTTGGCAAGTTTAAGACCTGTGGACTTCAACTCCCAGAATTCCTTAGGTAACATGACTGGAGGAGGAATTCTGGGAGTTGAAGTCCACAAGTCTTAAAGCTGTCCAGTTTGAAGGCCCCTGCCTTATTCTACTGCACCAAGGTCAATGCCTTTTTTTTTCTTTTCCTCCTTGTTTTGCTGACTTTTCCCTTCCCTGTTTTTCCTATTTGCTTCTGTATTTTTCCTATGTTATAACATAAACTGATAAACTGATGTGAAAGAACCAAGATATGATTATGCACAGCTTAAAATACTTAGACGAATCCCAGCATAATGGATTTTCAAATCGTTCCTTCTTTTTCTTGCGTAAGAGTGTCTATGAAGATTCTCAGCCATCCAGGTCATGGTTGTCCCAAAAGTGCTTCTTTTTTTTCAAGAGACAACTGGACTTTCTTGGTTTTTCCTTGAAGACGTCTCGCTTCTCATCCAAGAAGCTTCTTCAGCTCTGACTGGATGGTGGGGAATGGACAGATTTATACTCTTTGCAAACAGCTGGTCATTTGCATCCTTTTAGAGAGTTGTTGATGCCACTTGGAGATTTATATGTGTCCTCAGGGTCACCTGAGTAGTGCAAATGGACGTGGAGCCCTCTTGGCTGCAGGATGAGAGACACTGAAAACATCCTTCAACCAAGAAGGCTCCACACCCATTTGCACCACCCAGAGTGACCCCGAAAAGACACAGATAAACCTCCAAGCAGCCTCAACGACTCCCTAAAAGACTGCAAATGACCAGCCATCTTGGCGCTGTTGAAATGAGCAACAGCAAACTGTTGCAAGGATAGAAACCCTTCCGTTCCCCACCATTCAGTCAGAGCTGAAGAAGCTTCTTGGATGAGAATCGAAACGTCTTCAAAGAAAAAAACAGAAAGTCCAGTTGCCTCTTGAAAAAGCACCTTTGGGATCTCATATAAGAGTTTTTTTGCAAATACGCAAAAAACCTCTTTGCCATTTGCCCAGGGAAAACCAAAGAGGTTGTTGTTCTGACCAGTAGTTAATTATCCCCATCTTACTAAAGCTTTCAGTCGTTGTCCTAATTCTTATCCCTACGCAGGTTCATAACCGAAATTTGTTGTCCCTCGACTTCGACCGCGTGACACGAACCGAGAAGATTTACGATGACCATCGGAAATTCACCCTGCGCATTCTCTACGATCAGGCGGGACGGCCTACGCTCTGGTCTCCTAGCAGTCGTCTGAACGGAGTGAACGTCACCTATTCCTCCGGGGGGCACATAGCCGGGATCCAAAGGGGTACCATGTCCGAAAGAATGGAATACGACCAAGCGGGCAGAATTACATCCAGAATGTTTGCAGATGGCAAATCTTGGACCTTCACGTATTTAGAGAAGGTGAGCACCGTTAGGAAAGAGGGGTCACTAAAGTTTTAGTTGAGTTTACTTCATTGTCATGGCACCTCATAGGACGAAATTAAATGCCATTGTGCGATTTAAAAACGTTCAAAAATTTATACTCACTAATTCGACAGACAATTCTGATGTACAAACAAAGAAAGTTTATTAAAATGCATTTGCAAAGGCAGGCCTTCACATCCCTTCCCAAAATGGATTGAGAACATGAAGCGCAAAATCCCACATTCAAGCAACAGATTTATACCCCCTACACAATGCACGCCACGCCTAAGAAGCCCTTCCAACTCCCCCTTATTAGCTAAAGGGTCGACATGACATTTTCTTGTATGCAATGGATGTCTTATCTTGTTTTGCTTCTGGACTTCACCTTGGGTGGATGTCCTTACATATCTACTTGTTGCCTGGCCCTGGGCTGATGTTCCTGTTTCCCAAGACAATTGTAACAAGTCACCACGTACTTTTAACTGAATACACTTTGGGGTTTTAGGGTGTGGGTTTTAATATGTAGCAAAAGGAATATTCTAGCTTAACAATACATAAAACACTATTATAAAAGAGTAACTTCTTATACTTTTCCTTCACCATCTTCAGTGTACATCATACATAACAAAACTACAAAAATAAAATACAAACACACTTCCTTCACATTCGATACAATTGAATGGAAAACCCCGAATATTGCATTAATATTGCACTACACAGTCGAATTCAAAAGAGCTACTGCCCTGGGATAGAAGCTGTTTTTCAGCCTATTTGTCCTTGTTTTTATTATCCTGTACCATCTGCCAGATGGTAATAGTTCTAAAAAAAGGATGCCCAGGATGAGATGGAACTTTGAGGATGTTTTGAACGTTCTTAAGGCAGAGGGAGCTATAAAACTCTTCCAAAGAGGGGAGAGGGCAACCAATGATCTTCTGGGCAATGACGTTAACTCTCTGGAGTGCTGTCCTATCTGCCCCTGTGCAATTGGAAAATCGTACACAGGTGCAGGAAGTTAAGATACTCTCCATGGTGCAGCGGTAGAAGGTCACCAGCAGTTTTTCATTCAGTTGTTTCCTGAGAAGCCTCAGGTAGTCTAATCTCTGCTGGGCCCTTTTGACCAGGGCTGCAATGTGAGCCCCCCAGGTCAGGTCCTCTTTTATGGTAACACCCAGAAACTGAAAACTGGCCACTTGCTCCACTCGGTCTCTTTAGCCAACTGAAGCTTTGTGAGTCACCTTCTCTGCCTCTTTGAATGGCATTTATCTACTACAGGTAGTCCTTGACTGACACCCGCTCATCTAGTGACTGTTCAAAGTTACAGCGGAACAGACAAAAGGGACTTACGATCATTTTTCACATTTACAACTGTTATAGCGTTCCCGGGGGTCACGGGATCAACATTCAGAGGCTTTGGGCAACTGGCTCGTATTTTTGATGGTTGCAGTGTCCCAGGGTCACGTGATCAACTTTTGCGACCTTCGGGCGAGCAAACTCAAAGGGGAAGCCACTTAATTGGGTTACTAACTTAACAGCCGCAGTGATCCATTGAACAACTGTGGCAGAAAAGGTCGTAAAATGGGACAAAACACACTCAACCACTATCTTGCTTAGCATTGGAAGTTTTGGGCTCAGCTGCGGTTGTAAGTCAAGGACCAGCTGTATGTAATCCCTGTCCTTCTTGTAAGGTGACATCTCTTTTGTTTGTAGCATGTGTTAGAAATTACCTGCATTTAGGATGGTCATGTGACCAACCTGTTTTATAACTTACAACCATAAAGACAGGCTCCATTACACTCCTAAACTCGCATTCTCATGGTCTTTAATTGGCCGAAATGATGCGCCCACTGTAGGGCAAGCATTTTTGAACCAAAGTACCTCCAGTGGGCTAACTTAGATTACATATGTAACTTTGAATGTGGTCCAAAACTCCCCAGGGAATGAAATTTGGCTGTTTCAATATTGCTGGGCTACTGCTGCGGCAATTACGTGAAGTTCTGTTTTCAACTTTCTGTGACAGTTTCCAAGCCAGTTTAGCAATCCCTTGGTCTCTCCCCCAATCAGCAGCAGCCACTTACCTGCCTGCTGGAAAAGGGAGGGAAGGAGGAAAGGAAGGAAGGAAGGAAGGAAAGAAGGAAGGAAGGAAGGAAGGAAGGAAGGAAGGAAGGAAGGAAGGAAATATATGTGGGAGGGAAGGTTAGACAGGGAGGGAGGGAATTTCATTTGCATTCTTTTAGAGAGTCTTTGAGGCCACTTGGAGGTTTATCTGTGTCCTCAGGGTCACCTGAATAAGTAGGGTCACCTCAAAAGTGAAAGGACACAGGGCAGAAAACATCCTGCAGCCAAGAAGGCTCCACACCCATCTGCACTACTCAGTTGACCCTGAGGATACAGACAAACCTCCAAGTGGCCTCAACGACCCTCTAAAAGGATGCAAATGACCAGCTGTCTGCAAGGAACACAAATCCTTCCATTCCCCACCATCCAGTCAGAGCTGGAGAAGCTTCTTGGATGAGAAGCAAAACATGTTCAAACCAAAACCAGAAAGGCCAGTTGCCTCTTGAAAAAAGCACTTTTGGGACTTGAAACTTCTTGTTCTCTCTGGCAACTTTTCAACTTCAAGAAGTTTCAAGTAACTTGGGACAACGTTGGTCAAAGCATAAACAATCCACTTTCTGTATCCCACTACAGAACTTAGCCATAATAATAACATCGACAAAATGTTCTGCATATGACTTATTTTTCTCTTCTGATTACAGTCCATGGTCCTGCTTCTTCACAGTCAACGGCAGTACATTTTCGAATTCGATAAGAACGATCGCTTGTCGTCAGTTACGATGCCCAACGTAGCTCGGCAGACCCTGGAGACACTTCGATCAATTGGCTATTACAGGAATATCTACAGGCCTCCAGAAGGCAATGCCACGGTGGTAGAAGACTTCAACGAGGAATGGCAACTCCTTCACACCTATTACCTGGGGACCGGAAGACGGGTCATCTACAAGTACGGCAAGCTGTCCAAACTGGCAGAGATGCTTTATGACACCACCAAGATCAGCTTCAGCTACGATGAGACCGCAGGCATGTTGAAGACCATCAACCTGCAGAACGAAGGGTTCACCTGTACGATCAGGTACCGCCAGATCGGGCCGCTCATTGACCGCCAGATTTTCCGTTTCACGGAAGAAGGCATGGTGAACGCCCGTTTCGATTACAACTACGACAACAGCTTCCGGGTGACCAGCATGCAAGCCGTGATCAACGAAACCCCGTTGCCTATTGACCTCTACCGTTATGACGACGTGTCGGGCAAAACCGAGCAATTTGGCAAATTCGGGGTGATCTATTACGACATCAACCAGATCATCACCACGGCGGTCATGACCCACACAAAGCATTTTGATGCGTACGGCAGGATGAAGGAAGTTCAGTACGAAATATTCAGGTCCCTCATGTATTGGATGACGGTGCAGTATGACAACATGGGGAGAGTGGTGAAAAAGGAATTGAAGGTGGGCCCTTACGCCAACACCACAAGGTACTCGTACGAATACGACGCCGACGGCCAGTTGCAGACAGTGTCCATCAACGACAAACCGCTCTGGAGATATAGTTATGACCTCAATGGGAATCTCCATTTGCTGAGTCCCGGCAACAGCGCCCGTCTGACGCCACTGAGGTACGACCTCAGGGACCGGATTACAAGACTGGGTGACGTGCAGTACAAGATGGACGAAGATGGCTTCTTGAGGCAACGGGGGAACGACATTTTTGAGTACAACTCCGCAGGGCTTCTCATCAAGGCCTACAACAAAGGCAACAAATGGAGCGTGAAGTACCATTATGACGGGCTTGGAAGGAGAGTCTCCAGCAAAACCACCCACGGTCATCATCTGCAGTTCTTCTATGCGGACCTCACCAACCCCACCAAGGTCACCCACCTGTACAACCACTCCAGCTCCGAGATCACCTCTCTCTATTACGACCTTCAGGGTCACCTCTTTGCCATGGAGGTGAGCAGTGGAGATGAATTCTACATCGCTTGCGACAACATTGGGACGCCCTTGGCGGTCTTCAGCGGAACGGGCCTCATGATCAAGCAGATCCTTTACACGGCTTACGGAGAGATCTACATGGATACCAACCCAAACTTCCAAATTATCATTGGTTACCACGGAGGCCTATATGATCCCCTCACCAAACTCATACACATGGGGAAGAGAGACTACGACGTTCTAGCCGGCCGGTGGACCAGTCCGAACCACGGCATTTGGAAACGTCTCAGCCACAGCAACATCATGCCGTTCAACCTCTACATGTTCAAAAACAACAACCCGATCAGTAACGCCCAGGATATAAAATGCTACATGACAGGTAAAAAAATCCATCTTCAATCTCAGTAGTTAGCTGCCCAGGGTAAGAACTGGGACTTTGGCGGGAAACGTGTGGGCTTTGCCATGATGCCTTGGACCTCATCCACAGAATGGTTGCCATCGGTTACTGATAAAAGTGCATGGAGGTTTTCCATGCGTAGCGTCTTCCATTTAAAAGAGACAGTTTGGTGTGGTGGTTAAGGTGCTGGCCTAGAAATCAGGAGAAAGTGAGTTCTAGTCCCACCATAGGGATGAAAGCCAGCTGGGGGACTTTGGGCCAATCACCAGGAGCCTGTAAGTTCTAGTCCCATCTTAAGCATAAAAGCCAGCTGGGAGACTTTGGGCCAATCACCAGGAGACGGTGAGTTCTAGTCCCACCTTAGGCATGAAAG